GGTTACGATTAACTTGGGAGGCCGCCATGTTCTTCGGGATAATATTTCATACCAAGTTACGACATGTTGGGTCCCGGCGCCAACCTGATGGGCCGACTTCCCGCCTTGCAATGTACACCCGGTACGTGGTAGTGTCAGTAGCACTTGAGCTTGTCAAGAGCTCGATTGCGTCCGGGTTGAACTAAAACCTTGCACACCATCTTGGTTTGCTTGGCCAGGTCTTGAAGGGCACCCGAGGATTTGTGAAAGGAAAACATTGAGTGCCGCTCTATGGTGAGGCAGGAGAATGACATGATCTGTAGTGCCTGGATGCTTGAGAGGGAAGACGAAGCCAGCCACGCAAGGCATCCAACCTCCTGATCTACGTTTGTCGCTGAAGATCAGCCACTTTCGGAGAGTCGGTTTCAGTGAAACCATGAACCATCTTGAATCTTTGAGTGATGTCATTGTAAATGTTAGGCCTGGATGCGCAAACCCAGTCCGACTTGGTCCACACATGGAGAGTAATGTACCCAGCCGAATTGAGTCTGGAATAGTCAAGCGTGCGGTGCGAGGTGGCGTGGGTCCTAGTGAAGGTTGCGTCCTAGCGCCTGGCACTTCTAAACTGACTTCAATAATTTGGTAGCGGTATATAACCAATTTTGTAGAAACGGAGTCAAGTGTCCATTCGTTGGACAACAATATAAGTGGGAAGTGCTGCATTGGTCACAGTTTTGAGGTGGTGGGTTGTCGCTGGGCATCGATTGGAGGGGGGGGGGGGCACCATTTTGGTGGCGTGGGTTGTCATTGGGCACCATTTTTAGGGTGAGGGATGTTGTTGCCATAAGCCGGCACACCCCTCCCCCCGGTCGAGGCCTCGAGGATCTTTGCAGAGTTATGTGACCTCTCTAATCAGCATCCAGCAGCACCCAGGATCGGCTACCACCTCTTTAATTAGAATTGGGCTAAGCTCAACGTGGATGGTTCCTTCTCCACTGAAAATGGGAGTGCGGGCGCTGGAATGATTCTCCGCGGACACGACGAATCGATTATTTTTTCCCGCTTGCCGA